TCCATCGTCCAAGGCAGTGAATTAATAATAAAGCAATAAATGAATAGGAGATATAATTTGGTTCTTATGTAACTGTATCATCATCATTATTATGTTTTTGACAGGAAAATTGACAATTTTAATGCATGCAAGATTAATAAAATTAATCTGCTTGCATAAATGATTTTGAAAAATTAAGTTTGTAAAGAATATTTATAAGAAATTTAAAAAAGAGTATTGCAAAAATATATTACTTTATCAGACATCACTCTGTTCAGTATCAATTACCACAAAACCGAACTCGATAGTGATTTTTAAAATTCGTTAATTTAGAAATATTTCCACGCATAAATAACTTTATTATTTTATGAAATGACAGTCGACAAAAATTTAAATCGTAATGTATACAGTTTTTGACACCATTTCAAAGAATACATAATTTTACACGGAATAATACAAACTTTTAGCGAAATCGGTCGAATAGTTCCTGAGAAATCAAATATTAAATATAAGATTTCTTTAAAATTTGATTTCACAAGAACTATTTCAGCGATTTCGCTCAAATATTTTATTTTGCCATGTAGAACTACATTATTTAAAATGATGTAAGAAATTGTAATAAGAAGATGAACGATACATTATATAAAGAAACATTAGTTAAATGACAATTAGTAATCTCTTTTGACAAAAATATAAAAAGCAATTACTATAGTCCCATTTATCTTATTTACTTAAAAAATGATAGAAAAAAACCCGAAATGAAATGTTAACATTATTTAAAATATATATATACACATTACGAGATATAATAAATTTTATTATATTATAAATTAAAATATTGTATGCAATGTTTATTTAAAAGCAAATTTTTAAATCGCCTTCGGTAAAAGAAACTACACATGAACAATAAACAATATAATACCTACATTATTTTAACCTTCATGTCATTGTAATTTCTCATATCCATCACAATAATGTTGGTTGGGAAACATTATTCACTTTGATATTTACAATCTTTTCCAATAACAAAATTTGATAATGGTGTTTGCATGGTCAGTCTCATTCAATAATGATTCATGATTCAATTATGATTTATATGCTTTCTAAATTTAATTATAAACTTTCACGTAATGAAATAATAATCATTTAAACCCTTACATAAAAAAAATGAATAGTGTGATTCATGAAATCAACCAACGCTATTATAATAGCCATTTGTATTATTATATTTTAAATAGAATTAGAAATCTACGAATCCTTATGAAATTGAAAAGGACGTAATTTCCTCAAAGACCAATTATTTTTACTTGAAAATTAGCTGTTTCAGATCATCAGAATATAATGACATAGTTAGGCATGTTTTCATAACATCCATTTGGCATTAAATATTTTTTCATATTATACGCTTTTGTGAGTCATTAAAAAACTTTGCATTCATAAACTTTTATTAAAATTAAATTCTTCTATCTTTAATTTTATTTTTAATATTGAATGAAGCAATACCAATGTTGTTGCAAAATATTAAAGGAATAATCCCAAAAAACTGAATGGAAATATATACTTTACTTATATTATATACTTACTTCATTTGTTTCAATAAAAGATAGTAAAAATCGACATGTTTTGAGCGCTCAAAAATAGGCGGCCATTTTCAAGACTCGCCAAGCGTGAATGAGGAAAAGTGAAGAGATTTAAAACTAGAAACGATTTTTTTTTTTCTCGTTGATAACTTAACTTTTTTTATTTCAGTTCTCTTTAGGTCTTGCGAAAGGTCGCCTAATTTCGAACACTGGACGCATGTCAACTTTTACAGTTTTCATCTTTTTTAAGCAAATGAAGTATTTTTATCAATCATATCTGCAAAGTAGTTTCTAGTGCGATTTCACAATCGGATTTTTATAATCTATGAATGTAATGTTGGTTTTGAATACACGAAGGACATTTTTCATAATACTCCTTCTTTTCTTCCATTCAGTTTTCTAAAATTGAATAATTAAAGGTCTTGCAAACTAACAATAAGTTACATTTTCAAATTGTTTAGAAGAGTGTACCTGGTTAAAAGCACCAAAATGTCGTTGTAGGAAATAACACGCTACCTTTTATTTTCTTATCTAATGGAAGTTATGCAAAATTGTGACATCGTGATTTGCCAACACTACTAAACAGTTTGACAAATGTCATCTCCGGGTGAAGAGTGACTTATCATTATTATCCTTATATGGCCAGGAGTGCTGCAACGTGACAAAAATCTTTGACGTTGATGTAATAATCATACTACCTACTCTTACATAGAATTTAATTTTAATTGATTAAAAACAATATTTTAAGTACATTGCTATTGCGAAAGTTTAAATGCGTAGTAATTTGTTTTTCATAAATTGCACAAATACTTTATTTCTTTTAAGTGTTTTTACAGTTTTTTTTCTCTCTAAATTATTATTTTCTAGTGCTTTCTTAAATTCGTCTTTGTTGCAATTCAGTTTCGGCATAAAAAGTAGGATTAATCTATTTACCTTAATTGTTAATCGAGTTAGAGTTTGTAAATTAATATTTAATCAAAGAAGAAACAAAAATTCCATCGGAATCAGCTGAATCACGAGTGAGGGAGGCAAGAAGAAAACATCGAATGAAATTTGGAATTGTTTCTACGGATCGTCTTTAAATTCCTTGGGAATGAAAGAGGTTATCAAGTTTTCGGCCAGGTTCTTCTCTGTAGTGATTTGTTTGATTTCAGTAGATTTTTCCTCGCATAAGTCATGCGGTCATTAATGTGAGTACTTTTTTCCCTTCCACTTATGGCAATATTTTGACATAGTTTCACTGTTAAAAAGGATTCGAAATACGTCTATTTGGGATGGTCATTACGGTACGTCCTTTATATTTTTTGTTTTAAATTAAATTTAAATAGATCATCAATGAACGATGTCGTCTTCTTTTCGAATTGCTTGCTACTCTTCAGTGTCTTGTGCTTTCCATTCCAGCAGAAAATGACTTTTTCTTCTTTTTCGTCAAAAACTGCAGTGTCTATTAGAGCCTAGATTTGCCATTTCTAGACACACGCTCAATGACAAAAAGGAGGCTTTTTGAAATGTCCTATATCCAATTAAAAAAACAAATCCGTGTCTAACAGTTTTTAAGAAAAATTTTCACGAAAATCGAAAATGCCAAGTACCCAGACCTGCCTGATCTGCCCGATTTTTTTAAAAAAACGTTCTTAAGTTTCATTGGATGCGGAATAAAAAACCGCAAAAAAAAAGAAAAAAAAAACACACTTATTTTAACTTTTTCGCAGTATTCGCAAGATATGAGTATTCCAAATTTTCCCCTCTAACTTAGGATTTTCAGTCGCAATCTTCTTTCTGCAATATTTATAATCGGATATGGTCTCAGTTTAAAAATTGGTCTTAAAAGCACTGTAAAATAATAAATAAATAAAGTATATTAATAAATAAAAATAAACAAGAAAAGGCAAGGAATCGAAGATATTACCTGCAAAATCATTCACGAAAAGCAGGTTTTGGCCATTTAACAAACAAAATTATAAATGAGAAAGTTATAAATCTTATTTTCCTTCATATTATTAACTAACAATAAGCAATTGTTCTTAATAGCTTTTTATTTTGACTTTAAAGTAAATTAATTTAAATATTACTTATTGATTACCGATATCTTAATATAAGGTTAAGAAATAAGTCTCAAAAGTTTAGTTTTATCGAAACTGCATTTCCCGTTATTAAAGTAAATGAAGAATTAAAATTTCTAAAGATATTTTAAAAGGTTTAAATATAAACTACAAGTTCATTGAAATTATGATTGAAAGTTTACTTTTGAAGTGTTGATCTTATTTTAAATTTTTGTTCTTAAATATTTAAGTTAAGTTGTAGAATACAAACATTCTGGTGAATCTTTCATTTCGCCTAGTTCATCACTTTCGGAAAGAATAAATATTTTTTTTTTCTACCCAGGAATAGTAACGCGGGTAATTTTGACTTCCTGGGTTACTTGAATTAAATAAAAATCTGACACAGGTTACTTTTTAGAGAGCTGCAAAGAAAATCTTCTGTGAAAACTGAATTTTAATAATTTAGTTAAAATGAGTCGAAACTTAGAACCTTAGGGACATAAGAAGAAGGTGTTTCTTTTTGTTTATTTCTTTTTAAAATTAATAGTTTTGTTTATTTATGGTAAGTAACAGATAATCGATTCATTTGAAAATAAAGTTCAAAACAGAATCAAAATTCAAAGAAAAAAAATTAGTCGTGAAGGAGTTAAAAAAAATATTTTTTAAAATGTAAGTACAGAAATATTCTAATGTTTAAATTGGAAGACAACTATCTAAAATATTTAATTAGGAAACGAAGTAAATAAATGAGAGAGAGAGAAAAACAAAGCAAAGATCACTAATTTTTCATATTTCAGAAAGGAACTGTGTATTATGTGTACATTTTTTAATTAAAATAATTTAACATTTTTTAATTAAATTAAAATATTTTAAATAAATAACAATTCAATATTTAACACTTTAATATTATAATAATTATTTAATATTTTTGTTTATTTATGGAAAATACCAGATAATCTATTCAGTTTAAAATAAAGTTCAAAATGGAATGGAATGGGAAAAAAAATCAGTCGTGGAAGATTTAAATTATTTTGTAAATGTAAAAAAAAATATAAATAGAGAATTTTGTGTTTTTAAATTGGAAGACAACTACCTAAAATATTTAATCATAAAATAGAAAAAAAAAGAAAAAAGAAGAAGAAAGCAAATATCATTAACTTTTTAAGCTTTAAAGCGAAGGGAACTATATAATTTTTAAAAATTTTTATTGCATTAGTTATATTTTATTGAAAAAAATATATGTATACAAACATAAAAAAATAATAATAAAATAATGATTTGAGGTGTTTCTGTCTTCTATGTATTTATGTCACTTGAAATTAGAGTTCTGCCCAATTTCGTTCCACCGCTCCGAAATCGTTTTCACCTCGTCCATGAAAAGTTTTATTTTTCTTCCTTAGAAGATGGCAGCGCTCCTCTAGGCTACTTGTAGAATTCTAGAGTTTATCGGCTTGCAGCAGCAATGAGAGATGGCGGTTCTGCCTTTCTTCTCCTTTTATTGTCTTCTGGTCTTGTGTAAGTTCTAATTTTCTTTCTTTTTTTCATACACGGCTGTCTATTTCTGATGTGCATTGAAAGAAAATATACATCGGCATTAATTGATATGAGTTCAATATTCGCTCTGTGCAATTACTGATATTTATTTTAGATATTTTTCCTTAGTCAACTAATGATAATTGCTCATTAAGATTTTTCTTTAATCATTGATGGATATATTATGGGAAAAAATTTCTAAAGAAAACTTGATACAAGATTTATGACTAGTTTCTTTTAGATGCGTTATATTTTTCGTTATTTTCCAATTTAAACAAATAAGTATTTAATATGTATTTGAAAAATATAAAGGGACAATAATGAAAATTATTATTACCAAAAGGAAAATCTTATACACTTATTGATATTTGTCGAATTGTTTTGTTAGAAAATTTTTTTTTATATTGTGAATATTATATTTAGAGCACTTTGTAGATTGTTATACTTGAGAATGACTTATTATTTTCTAATACAATAAAACACTGTTAGATTTTCTAAGAATTTATTACTCATGGGAACTATTGCACATAAAAATTTTTAAGTGTCATTTTTTTTAATAAAATACTTAATTATCTTAGTTTTTAGAAATAAAAAAATGCAGAAAATTATAATTTTTTAAATAATACATGAAAACAATGCGTATTCATTATTTTCTATGTATATTTAAAAAATGTAAAACTTATTTAAGATATCATAAATTATTAATTTCACTTACCAACCAGAGGAAAAAAAACTTTTAAATTTTTAAAAAAATATTTATAAAGATAAAATTAAAAACTTTTAATTTTACTAACATTCTATAATTCTGGAATCATATTATCCATTCTTCAAAAAAGAGATTAAAATATTATCGTTTGTTTTTATATAGGTACCTAATTTGCTTTTATAAAACTTGATTTCATATTTACTCCACTTAGGGTACAAAAATTCGAATTTAATTTTTATTTTAATATTAAAACGGCGCATTATTCATCAAGTTCCAAAACGCTTTTTACTCTGGAAAATGTAATATAAAACAAATATACGACTTAAATATCACACTCGACATTATACGATTTGAGTAGTGGGGGCTCAGAGAATAGAGCGTTTGCCTTCCAATGAGGTGAATCAGGTTTGAATCCCAGTAATGGCTGGTCGATTCGAATTCCTCGCCCTACTTGCACCGACCATGGTACTGGCGAAAAACATCCTTAGTGGTAGACGGATCATAGGTTAGAGTCCCCTTGCCATCAGGCTAACCGTGGGAGGTTTTCGTGGTTTTCCTCCCCCTGTAACGCAAATGCGAGCTAGTTCCAAGAAAAAAGTCCTCCGTGATGGCAACTTTCTCCCAATGCTTGATCCATGAGCTCCTTTGTCTTCTGGGTTGGGTTCAAAATTTCATGACTACCGAGTGGAACATTAGTAGTCGTAAATTCAAAATTAGGCCGACTGTTCAACTATGTTTATAAAATATAATGTTTGGAATTTTTGCTCTAAGTGGCGTGCGGGCAAAGACCTTGTAACAGAAAAAATATTGATGTATAAAATTGATAGATCAAACTGATGAGATTAAAATATTTTTGTCCTTTCTAATGCTTCCAAACATGTTTCTAGTGAACGAATTTAAAATACATCACAGTAACATTTAGAGCCAATATTTATAATTCACTTAAATTATTTTAAGACTACATAAATTTTTGACATACAAAAGAATGAATGAGCCTAAGTTATCGTCATCATTAAATGCTGGAATAGCATTTTGACTTTAATAGTAATTATCATTAGAGCGTGAAAACATTTTGTTATGACCCAACTATAAATGATTTTTGATATAGTGAGTAAATAAAAGGAGTGAAGGGCACTCGACGAAAAAAAAAATTGGTAAAATTACCGTTATGGTAACGACATTTCCAGTAAAAAAATAAATATAATTCTGTTTATTAAAAACAAAATAAACGATATTTAAACCATTTATTTGATAATTTTTCCCTTCATATGGTAAGGGTTTGCTGGAAATTCTGGTTTTCAAAATTATAGTTCTTATTACCACACATTTACTAAAAAATACAAAACTGAAAAAATGGTTTTTATATTATACTCTAAGGTATCATTATAAAATTACCAAATTTTTTCGCAAATTATCAAACCATATTTCGTTGTTAAATGAACCGAAATTATTACCAAAGCTCATCGGTAAAATTACCGAGCTTCTCGGTGTTCCCATAGAGCCAGAAACACGATAAATTTTACCATATTCTGATAGTTTTGATCATACTTTTCTTCTCAGTACGGAATAAACGAAGTGAATAGGTGATTCATAAATAGACAAATGGAAAAGGTTATAGACTTTATACAATTGTTCTACCACATCAACTAGATACAATTTTTATGAATACTTTTATATAATTTAATTTTAAAATGTTCAAGTAATGATTATTTAAATTTTGTGTGCAGGGTTTTATTTAATTAGTGGATATTCGTTTTTATCTCAGGCAAATCATACATGTTTAAAAGTTTTGAAAAACTTTGCACATAACTTAAACTAACTTATGTAAAAGTCCCTAAGGAGTTTTCAACCTTTTAAATGTTATTTACTTACTTTTTAATTAGTAAAATATTGGCCCATGAAAAACGGCAGTTTTTTAAAAAACATTATTAAAAACTAATATCAAAACTCCTAACAGATGTTGTGACAGTACTTAAGCATGTTGTAAGATCGAGAGTGATGGTTTGCAAGCATGTAACTAATCAATAGGTTCAGTGGAAATCGCGACAGGTCTAATTGTAGTAATCTTATTCTAGTTGAAATTAACCCATGTGACTAAAAATACTTAATTAAATGTTATGCTAAATTATTTAAATAAAACATATTATTATCCATAAATTGACAAAAAATTAAGCTCTAAAAATGCCGAAGATGAATATTGTGTTCTCGATATGTAGGTTAATTGAAAAATCTCCATGAAAAAAGCCGCTGTTATTTTACAATGCTCTAAATTAATTTTATTTTTCATTTTATTACCGACCTTGAACAGCCAACCCAATTTTGAGTTCGCGACAACCAATGTTCAACTCGTAATCTGAACCGGATCCAGAAGACAAGGGAACTTCTGAATCAAGTATTATGAGAAATTGCCTTCGTGCAGGATGGAACTAACCAGCTTTGCGTTACATGGAGAGAAAAACCTCCCACGGTTTGATTGACGGCAAGGAGACTCTACCACATGATCCGTCTACCACTGAGGATATTTTACGTCAGCACTGTGGTCGATGCAAGCAGGGTGCGTAATTCCTATCGACTGGGATTCGAACCAGGTCACGTTATTAGGGGGGGGGGGCGCTTAATACCCTGAGCTACCCCGGCTCTCCAAATCAATTGGAAAAATCGCCATTACTTTCTGGCACTTTTTAATAGCAATAAGCTCACAAGTTTAGGCTGATTAGTAAATAATATTATTAGGTTAATTCGTAGCACAATTAACCAAATTAATTTCAGACAGTTTGAAATAAGCCAAAAATAGTGATGGCTTTCTGTGAACAGACTTATTATACCCGTATTATAGGTTTACCTTATTCTAGGTATACCTTATTATAGGTTTCTTGTGATAAATTTAATCAAATATAGGTACAGTTGAGAGTTTTTTCGTGCAAATCCACATAAATCATAAGGCACTTCAGCTGGTTGAAATGAACCTAAAAAATATCAGGCATATTAAAAAGTACAGAATACTTTTCCAATTCACCTAGTGCATTGAGAAATGCTGGATATATTTAGAAATTTCAATTAGCCTTATTTTTCAATTAGCTTACGGCATCGACTAACTAATTTAATTTGGCGTTATTTAATGAAAAAGTAATTTAAGGCATTAAAAATGTACTCTTGGAATTATTTTTCTTGCTTTTCCACAAATAAAAAATTATGTCAAAAAATTGTGAAAAGAAACCCCCTACTCCCCAAAAAAATTTGAAATTTATAAAAATTTAAAGGTATTTAGGGTAAAATCATAAATTAAATTTTAAAAAAATTGTTATCAATAGATTTTCGATGATTTTGGACTATTTTTCTTCTTGTCAGTATTAATTGGACTTAAAAAAAGTAAAATTCCTACCGTAATACTTCACCATAATCTGGATATTTTACATATGCTTATGCAAGATTTTTTTTAAAAATTAATTTTGTCTTTAAATTTAGTTATTTCAATAATTTACAAGTAGGTTTTTTTCTTATAAAATGATTGAAAAGGGTTGTCTTACTAAACAATACTCATATTCCTTCCCCTTTGTCAAAAAAAAAAAAAAAAAAACTCCCACCATTATCTCTTTGGAGCTTACGCAATATTATAATTAACTTTCTACGGTGATGTTTAAACGGATTTAAATTTCAAGAAGTCATTCTAGATACTTGTATGCTTACATAAAAAAAAGTGTAAATACTATTCAAGAAAAAAAACATTAATCAACGTTTGAAAAAATGTTCCTATCTTCCAAAATGAATCAATATTTTTTCAGAGAAAAAAATAAAAAATAAAATTATATTTGCAGAAAAGTGCCCTGCTGAGAATATAACATCCCACATATATGGTCACCCAGATGGTAAATAGAGACTTGGCAGTGATATAAGTGTTCAATTTTCTCAGTGTTTCAAAGCTCCGATCTTCAGTTTTTGCTTTCGATTCGAATAATAAATGCAAATAATATTTTTTTTTCTTTTCGTTTTCATATAAAAAAATTGAACAATTCTCCATGGGTTGACAAAATTTTTTTTAAATTTCGAAGCTATATGGTGGCTAATATTATTATTTTCCACAGATTAAATTCATGCAGTTTTTGATGGTTTACCCTCTTTGTTTCTCAATCAAACTACATTTCGCTAAAAACGGTTTTATCCATATTTCAACACAATATTGGCATCCATAGGCGTATAGTAAAAAATTAATTTTTTTAAATGTATGACTTAAAATTTCTTTGAAATAATATATATTATAAACTTAACTTTCTATTAA